AGGGGCAGCGCCGCCGGGAGCCGGGCGAGGCCGCCCGGGATTGTGGGAATGCGGCGGACTGGGCCTCGACTCGGCCCCCCTCGGGCGCGCTCGGGCGGGTCTGTGCGGCCTGCGGTGCCGGGAATCACCTGGCCTGGGGCGCCTGGCTGCCTCGAACAGGCATTAATGGGCGCCTGCTGTAAGCTAGGCACTAATGCAGCGCTTGCCTTCACACCAGACAGACGCAAGCAGGAACAGAGTGCCTACTGTTTACCGAGCATTGATGTAGTACCTGCTAAAGAAGAGGCCCCCATCAGGCATTAATGCTGTGCCTGCCATATACCACCGGCAGAGCAGGAGCACGAACAGAGCGCCTAGTGTATACCAGGCACATGCCTGGCATCAGTGGAACACCTGCTGTATACCAGGCACTGCCTCTGCCCCCTAAACCAACACAGTGAGCTGACCTGTTGGTCCTCATCAGGGCAGGTGAAACCAAGCTTCGGCCAGAATCTGCAGAAACATCAACTGTTCCTCCCACGCCCTTGACTTTGCCTTGCCTCTCCCGCCTCCTGGCCCAAGGCCTGCAAGCTCTGTCCCCCCAAAGGCCTTCTGGGGACACCCTTCCTGACCCCTCAGCCTGTGTTCCTCGGGTGGCTGGATGCAGCCTGGGGTTCCCAGCAGGGCTGGCCGGCGGCCACCGTGGTCACTTCTGGCTGCCGCCAGCTCTGGTACTGCAGATCTCAAAATGGCTTTCACATTTAAAAATAGAAGGACATTCTGAGACACGTGAAATCCAAATTTCAGCGTCCACAAGAAAGGTGGACTGGAGCTGGACTACAGCCTCAGTGACCGGTGGACTCCCGGGTGGGGGCGTGCGGGCCAGCCCTAAAGGGGTCTCTTTTTTGGGGACTGGAGATGGAACCCAGGGGCCCTACGGCTGAGCTCCTCTGAAACACTTTCTCTCTGGCCTTTGACAGAAAGAAACCTCAGCACACAGCAGAGCCCGTCACTGTGCTGGGGCAGAAAGCTCCTTTCACAGAGGAGTAAACTGAGAGGTTCCCTGACCGGGCACCTGTGTCCCCACCTGGCTGACCGGCTCTCTGCCCCCCTGGCCCTGCCCCCCCGCCCTGGCCGGGTTCCCAGGGCGGGCGCCCGTCAGCCCTCTTGGTGCCGTACCTTGTCCACGGCTCTCAGCGTCTTGAGATAAGTGGGGAGGGGGGGTCAAAGTCTGCGTTTATGGGCTGATTGGGGGGGCCCTTATCTCCCTGAAACTCTGGGGCCTCCATTCTCACCTCAGCGGGGTGCAGCCCCGTCTGGGGCTCCTGGTCCCCCACAGATGGATCTCAGCCTCAGACAGAACGTACCACCCAGGGCACAGCTGGAGAAGAACACTGTCACCCAGACCGCTCAACAGGCCACCTCCCGCAGGGCCCTCCCCGAGCCCCAGAGCCCTGCACCCCGCCCCGGAACCTGCCCCAGAGCCCCTCGGGCTGCAGTCCCCTCTCCACCTGCTCCTGGCCCTGGACTCCGGCCCCAGCCGGGAGGGGTTCCTCTTGTCACTGCTGCATCTAGGATCCGGCCCCCAGTGCGCTCAGTGAACACCGAAGGGCAGTGGGCCCACGGATGCACGCGTGCTCCCGGGTAACAGGCTTGAGGGGTGCTGTTGTTCTGGGGCCGGGGATTGAACCCAGAGGCCCCCCGACACTGAGCCACATCCCCGCCCTTTTTGTTTTGGGAGGTGGGGCCTCACTACGTCGTTCAGGGCCTCACTCCGTGGCTAAGACTGGCCTCAAACTTGCAACCCTCCTGCCTCAGCCTCCCAAGTCACGAGTGACAGGCGAGCGCCACGGGCCCGGCTGGTCTGGGGTCCTCGATGGCTGCACCTCAAGGCTGGTGTCAGCAACAGTGACTGCATGTGTTCTGGTCACGCTGGGACAGTCCTTGTCCCCTGCCAGCCATGTGTCCAGGAGGGCAGCGGGCTCCTGATCCCCATGGGGCCGGTCTCGTCCCTCCTACCCGCCTCTCCAGGGCGGCTCCCGGTCCTGCCTCCCCTGCCTGTCACCCACAGGCCAGCCAGCCCAGGCCCCCCAGCCCGAGACTCGGAGTCCAGCTGCCCCTGGACACGGGGCCCTGGGGGTCATTTCCAGCGTGACCGAGCCCTGGTCTTGCCCCAGAAGGCCTCCCTCTGAGCCCTGGGCCTAGGTGCCCGCCCCAGGCACCACCTCTGGGCCCCTCTGTTCCTCCCCCGGGGTCACCCCGCGCCCCTCAGCCCTGCTCTGGGGGCTCTAGAGTCCTCCACAGCCGAGGAGGGGGCTGGGAAGGGTGGTCCCCACGGGGCGAGGGGTCTGCCGTCTCCTGTGCTGTGCCCCAGCATACAGTAGGTGCTCAGTAAATGTTTGTGCCATCCAAGAAGGACCCCAGCCACCAAGACAGCCCCCGGGCCCTGTTCCCCGGCGCTCAGGGCCCCACGTGAGTGGACCTGGGAGTGACCAGCCGTCCACAGGGGCCCAGCGGGGAGGGTGGGCGTCACTTCAGCGGGGACGGTGGAAGGTCGCCGAGGCTCCCATCAGGGCTCCCCCCGCCTGCTCCAGGGGCCCAGCCATGCTGCTGGGGGGCCCTGGGACAGTGCTCCCCGGCCCGGTCCAGCCTGGGGGCCGCCACCCCGCTGAAACCCTGAGTGCATTCAGGAGACCCCGGCCACTCACACTCCTGGCCCCGGAGGCTGTGACCCAGACACTTGGGAGACAGAGGCGGGAGGCCCGCTGGAGCCCAGGACTTCCAGGCCGGCCCCAGGCCGCAGCGAGGGTGACAGAGCAAGAGCCCATCGTGAAAACAGGAAGGAAGGGTCAAGCACCGAGGCCAGGCCGGCCACCTGAGCGACTTGGGAGGCTGAGGCAGGAGGAGGGCAGATTTGAGGCCAGCCTCAACCACTTAGCAAAACCCGTGTCAAAAACAAACAAAAAAACCCAAACCAACCCAGGGCGGGGGCCGGGCCTGGGCTGGGTCCTCAGCACCACATACAAACACAGAAATAAAGGTCCCTCCACAACGAAATCGTCATGATAATTTAAAGCATGAAAAGGGCTGGGGTGCGGCTCAGTGGAGGGCCCCGGGAAGGAGGGACCGAGGAACAGCCGCTGGACAGACGCCCGCTCCTGTCAGGCTCTGTCTGGGGCTGATTTGCTACAGAGAAACAGGCCTCTGGTCCCCAGGCCCCGCGGAGGGACAGCAGCGTCCACCGAGGGCGAGGATCGGCGTAGCCATCCCAGCAGCCGGCTCACCGCACCCCAGGCTGGGCCAGCCCCACTGTCCACCGGCACAGAGCACAGGAGCCAGCTGTGACCGGCACATGGTGGAATACTACTCAGCCATAAAAAGGAACTGGCCACACGGCCGCCCAGCGGCACCAGCAAGTCTCTCCTGGGGGTGCCGGGGACAGAACCCTGGCCTCACGCCAGCGGGCAGCACTAGCCGCGAAGCTGCCCCCAGACCCGAGAGAATGCGTGGGGCTGGACAAGTGCGCTGCCGCCGCCTGCCTGGAGTCGGAGCCCGGGGAGATGGAGGTGTGCGGGGCGGTGAAGGGCGGGGAGCCTGGAGGTGACAGCAGCGCTCTCCTCCCTGTGGAGGGCCCTGCTGGGCCGGGGGAGACCAGAGTGTCCAGCAGGTCAGGGGAAGCTGGGGCCCGGCGGCCTGTCCTGGGCCCAGCCTCAGCTGCCCCGGCTCTGGCTGCCCCACCCCAGCAGGAGGCAAAGTCCACGCCCCGTTCCTCGTGACGGGCTCCGCGTGGCCGGCCCCTCCCGCCAGCCTGCTTTCTGGTGGCCTTGGCCCCTGGACCTTGAGGGAGGGGGGTTTATGAGGGTCCAGGGCCAGCAACAAGGCCGTTGGCTGGCACAGGGCCCAGGGCAGGCTCAAAGGTGGCCCGGGCCTTGGCAGGTGGGTGGGGCTGGCAGAGGGCACCTGGGGGCCGATGGCATGTGTCCAGCATCTGCAAGGCCAAGGAGTGCCTTCACCAGTTCATCCCATGCACACTTCAAGCCCGTGCCCATGCCTCCCCGCCCACGGTGCTGGCACGGACCGGGTCTCCATGGGCTGGGCGGGGGCTCCTTCCCTGAGCTGCACCCCCGGCCCTTAGTATTTTGAGACAGAGACCTAAGTGCTGAGGCTGGCCTCCAACTTGCAATCCTCCTGCCTCAGCCTCCCAAGTCCCTGAGATGACAGGGGTGGCCACTGCGCCCACTCGCTCCAGCGGATACTTCCTCCCCACAGGCTCCCTGGCCCCAGGCCCTCCCTGGACCTCAGCCCAGCCCTGAGCCCCTCAGGGCCCTGGGGCCAGGCTCCCAGGAACACCATCGTCCTCCTCCACCCCAGGGAGGTGCCCCTGTCGCCTCTTTCTTCCAGTGGAGTCCCGCGTCCACGTGGCAGGGAGCCCTGGCCATCTCCCTCCCCACGCCCCCGATTCCCCAGCTCTGAACCAGAAGCCACCTCTTTCCAGCCCCACCGCAGGCGGACAGCACTTGTGCCTGACCCCGAGGTCCCCGGCAGCGGCTTCCGTTCATCCTTCAAA